TCGCCCAATCGATACGTATCTTTTACGTATCGCCTGATCGCCTACTCGCCTAATCGCCTAATCGATCCGCATACTTTTCATTTTGAACCATCGCCTACTCGCCTAATCGCACGTACGATCGCCAACTATGAACGCTCCAAAAGCTATGTTCTTTGTTTGCTGCTTATCAGGAAGTGGGACGAATGAGTGAAAATGTAGCCGTAAAACAAAGCCTTGTGGCCCCTTCCATCCACGTTAGCACCCATCTTGAATTCTTTTGATTCTTGCGGTAATAAATTCAGAGGTCTCAAGCCCCGTACAGCATTTGAGCTGAGCAGCTGATAATATTGAGTTGAAGCATGATATCGTAGCGTTCATTTTTCAAGCTCCAAATTCGGTCAACACAATTATTACCCAGGAACTCACATACATCATCTGAAAGTGCTCCTTCCGCTCTACTATCGCTCTTCTGCGGAATATTATCTTAGGATTTTCGAGCGGTTGAAATGTATCTGCCCCTTTATGTACGTCTGTAGACAAATTTTGGATATGAAAGCCTGTCAGGTAGGACTGGGTTCGACTACTCCACACTAGAGGAGGCTCTGGGTTAGTTTGCATATTTACGTTTCTGTACTTATAAGGGTATTTTCTCCGAATGATGATTCGATAAATATTGTGGGAGAAATTCATGTGAAATGTTTTATGAAGTAGTAGTGAAGGTGGCAAAGTCGTCTGGTGAGCGATGCCGTCTGAGTTCGACCTTCTGTCATATTCCTCCATTATAAGAGTTTCTGTGAGCAGAGAACAGTGCAGCATTCTAGTTCTAACCATAAGGCCGCATTCATGGTTCGCGACTACGGGAAGATTAGGATAGTAGTAGAGTAGGAGATTGCGTTGACAAGATTAGATACGTATCCACTGAAATCGCCGGAGAGTAGTGCGATTGGCGCTCATGTCCTTAGGGGGGGGGGGACCATCAACAACAAGGCCGATGGCAGGTGACACTGGGACTAACAAGCCACGGCAAGTCAGTCCTATCGTTGCTACTTTTCGAGAAAGTTTCCTACGACCCCCCCCCCCCCCCCTTTCCGACCAATTTTTTACCCCAAAAAATTACCGTCGAGCGGGGGGGGGGGATATACTTCCCTTAAAACCGCAAAAATTCCCTACATTTCCTTGCAATTTCCCTATGTTTTACCCATATTTCAACTGCTCCATTTTCTAGGAGGTATATACGCGCGCTGAAACGGCAAATTTTCTCCCGCGCCGCTCCCCACTCATCACATGCCAACTTCTTACAACCGAAGCAAGTACGACCCCCCTCTACAAACTCATCAAAATACGACCCCCCGTTGCTTCATAACTTCCCAATACGAATCCTTGCCTCACAAGGGCTCAGTAAACAAGCACATAATTGTGCCTTACTCCATTGGATGTCCCGAAAGAACAATCAGCGTCGTGCAATATTTGAGATGTTAAGGATAATAGAGGCAGGGATAGCCGAGTGGTTAAGAGGTTAGACTCATGTCTGCACCTCCGAAAAACCGCGAGTTCGATCCCTGCCGAGGCTAAACCATGCCTTGCAAAAATTGCAAAAATGGTTCTAGTACCAGCGTCAGGCCCAGGTTGACAGGCCGGCTGATGAACACCCCAGTCACACCAACTATGTCTAAAAGTCGCAAAAGAATCAGTGTTAATGCTAGGACGTCACCCGGAAGTGGCGCGCAGAACCCCCGCCCGAGTTCTGTGGTCAGTATGCAGCGGACCCTGCGACTGCGCGGGACTAACGCGGAGGAGAAGAAGAAGAAGAAGAAGAAGCATATATTCAGTCCTCACAATTGCCGCTGACAAGACTTAGATATGTATTGATCTATTCGCTTGAAGTCGCCCAATCTACTACTCTCCAGCGATTTCAATCGATACGTATCCAATCTTGTCAGCGCAATCTCCTACTCTACTACTATCCTAATATCCTGTCGCCTACTATCCTAATCTCCCGAACGTCGCGAACTATGAACGCGGCCTAATGAATCACGGCTCTCACGTCACAGCCTCAGGAGAAGCCTGAACCTCAAAACGCAGTCCACACGAATAAAATAGGTGATTTCAAGATTGTTATGTTATATCCCATTTACACATGCAGGAACATGCTGAGGTTATTTTCATGGATACGTTAAGTTGCCAACAAACGCCAACGTGGTGGTCTCACCATAAAACGACTGCTATCAGTATACCGGATATTACCAGTCAGTTCTTCATTCACTTGCAAGCAATCTCGCCCTCCTCTAGTCCAGGTAATAAGTGTGTAATGCTCTGAATTCTGTTTCAAAAGCACACTACGAGATTGGGTGCGGGTAGGTTTTCGTTCGCTTTCCTCCTCTTTTCCAGATCACCTCCCAACTCTAGCTTCATAACTGAACGCTTTTCCACGACTATTTTATCGCGAATCTTCCGCTCAAGAAATAACATCAAATAAAATATCGAGTTTCAGAGACCTTTCTAACCATAGGTCTAGAATATTTTTTCTCCGCCACACGAAGAATTTACAATTGTTATGTTATTTTTTCGTAAGGCCGATGACTTTGACTGAGCGATCGTCGTACGTGGCTCGATTAGCGATCAGGAGAGTAGGTGAATAGGCGAGTAGTCGACAGGGGAAGGATATGGAGCGTTCATAGTTGGCGATTAGGCGATTAGGCGATTAGTCTAAATGAAAAATATACGTATAGATTCGGCGAGTAGGCGAGTAGGCGAGTAGGCGATCAGGCGAGTAGGCGATTAGGCGGTGAAGACTACATACGTATCGACTTGTATGCTCCGCCCTGAGGGCGTTGTAGGCGAGTAGGCGAGTAGGCGAGTAGGCGAGTAGGCGAGTAGGCGATTAGGCGATTAGGCGATTAGGCGATTTGCACACGGCGCACTCCTTAGTCGTCAAAATTGAGGCGCACATGCATATTAGCTTCTCACCCATACACTAGACTACTAGTTGGTAAAAGCAGATCTTGTCAAAGTGTTGCATACAATCCAGATATCACCTAATCGCCTACTCGCCTAATCGCCTACTCGCCTGATCGCCTACTCGCGTACTCGCCTAATCGATACGTATCCTTTACTCATCGCCTGATCGCCTACTCGCCTAATCGCCTACTCGCCTACTCGCCTAATCGCCTAATCGATCCGCATACTTTTCATTTTGAATCATCGCCTACTCGCCTAATCGCCTAATCGCACGTACGATCGCCAACTATGAACGCTCCATAAGCAGTAATTTGTTGCTGGTACCGCCCTAATCGGCCTAACAGTTGCCCTACAACGCTCTATGGGCGGAGCAAGCCAGTCAATACGTATGTAGCCTTCTCTGCCTAATCGCCTACTCACCTTATCTATACGTATCTTTTTCATTGAAGACTATTCGCCTAATCGCCTAATCGCATTACGATCGCCAACTCTGAACGCTTCATAAGCAATGATGATTCGAGATCACACATGCGATTGGGCGATTGGGCGATTAAAGCAACAACCCCAGACGAGCTCAAGTTGCAAAGTCTGTTCTATGGATGGGACAGAGTAGCTCACGAGTATCACAGGTGTGCCGGCGTCGCGGCTTAAAAGTGTGTAACAATGGCGCTGGATCTTACAAGGTGGTCTGACGGCGGCTAATGTGAACTTATGGACGAGTTGCCTCACACCCCCTAAATATGCAACGTGGTTACAATGGTTACGACGTTGCGAAAAAAGGTAACCGGTAGATAATTACAGTATGTCACAAAAGTATAGGGATACCACTTATCTCTGTTATGAGCAAATGAGACTCACCAAATTTTTCTATCAGCAATGCCATATAACACCAGGCTACAAACATACAAGTGCAATCG